GTGTGTGACCGGTGTTTACAGTGAAAAAATATAGGAACAGTATTTAGTAAGGAAAAGAGGTCTTTTGTGGCTTTTATGGTTTTGGAAAGCTTTGAAGGGTGGATAGGGGGGGAAAGGGCAGATTTTGCAAGTGATGGTGTAGGAGGTAGGTTATGAAAGAGTAAAGAGTTTTTTAAGGATGTGAGGCTCAATTTGGGTTGTAGGAAAAAGGGAAATTTTTTTCCCGTAAAAGAGGCCTTGACAAGGATGTGTGATGTCACCGGGGTTGTTTAATATTTTTATAGATGGGGTTGAAAGAGAAAAAAATGCGAGGGTTTTGGGAAAGAGGGTGGAGTTTAAAAGATAAGAACACACACAAAGTGGGAGTTGTCCAGCTGCTCTTTGCTGATGACACTGTGCTTTTGGGGATTCTGAAGAGAAGTTGCGAGTTGGGTGGAAAATTTTGGTAGGGTGTGCAAAAGAAAAAATTAAAAGGTGAATCGGAAAAAGAGAAAGGTTTTATGGGATAACAAAAAATTAGGTGATAAAGATTGAATATCAGATTGGAGGGGGAGAGTATGGGGAGGTGACGTTTATTTTGGGAGTGGACGTGTCAGCGGTGGGTTATGAAAGTGGGGAATCTTTGAAGATGAGGGAAAAAGATAGTGGGGGCATTTAGGAGTCTGTGGAGACAAAGAATTTGCCCCTTGGGGGCAAAGGGGGGGAATGATGAGATATTTTTTACCCAACGCTCTTATATGGGTGTGAAGCGTGGGTGAAGATGTTGCAGCGAGGAGAAGGCTGGAGGCAGTGGAGTTCATGTTGAGGGAATGTGTGGTGTGAAAATAAAGCCCGAGAATTTGTAGTTTTGGAGTTGGAGGAGGTGGGGGTTACCAAAACGTTGTCCCGAGGGCGAGGAAGGGGTTTTTGAGGTGGTTTGGAAAAATTTTTGAGAGAATGGAGCAAACAGAATGACTTCAAAGTGTATCAGTCTGTATGGAAGGAAGGCGGGTAGGGGTCGGCCTAGGGAAGGGGTTGGAGGGAGGGGGTAAAGGAGGTTTTTTGTGCGAGGGGCTTTGGGCTTCCCGCAGGGATGCTGAGGTGTTTGTAGGAGTGAAGGAGACAAATGGTTTTTTAAAATTACGTGCTGTTTGGAGTTAGCAAAGTAACATTTTGAAAGGGAAAAAGGGAAACCGGCAGGCCGGGCTTGAGTCCTGGAGATGGGAAGTACAGTGCCTGCACTTGAAGGAGGGTGTTAATGTTTCAGTTTTTAAAAAAGTGTGTAAAACACCCTTCTGAAAAAAAATGATGGAGTGAATGGGTGAAAGTTTTTCTTTTTTGGGCCACCCTGCCTTTTGGGGGGGAATCGGGCCCTGTGATAAAAAAAAAAAAAAAAAATATATATTATATAACCGAGCGAGGTAATCTGTACTAGTCAATGTTCCTCAGCCCACCAAATGATAGTTGTTTTACGTTTTAAATTTAAAACTGATTGGGTAAAGGGGTTCTGAGTTTTAAAAGAAAGCCTTGGAGGAATTTAAAGGTAGACAGGGAAAACTTAACTAAAAACATAAAAGACTCTGAACCCAAAAATTTTGCGAAAAAAATGCATTTAAAAATCAATAAAAACCCTGAAAATTTAAAAAAAGCTCTGGAATCCTTTTTTTTTTAAATTATTTCTATCATGGTTCTCTGCAATCCTAAAAGACAATTTATTTGGCTTTGTTAAGAGAGTCCATTTTGATATTTTTTTTATAAAACCGTCAGATTGTCACCGACGCAGCCAAAATTAAATACACAGGAACAAATTAATACGTGCACAGGAACAGTGCGGAATGTGTTGATATCTTGAGGAGTAACTGACTGTTGAACGAGCTAGTCAGAGAGCCAAGGGAGGGGGGGGGGAGAACTAAACCTGTTTGGGTCATACAGCACCTGGGAAGTGGGAGGCATTCAGGTTTGATACGAGGAAGGAGAGGGTAGATCCATTTCTAATTTTAATCAAGAGCCCTTAGAATAGCATCCAGGCACCTCCCTAGAATGGTGATAAATTATAAGCCTCGATCAAGATGATGATAATATCAATAATATAAAAATAATAATATTAATAGCAATAATAATAATAATAATATGTCATAAGTAATATTTATTCATTTTGTAAATTAAATACTTGCAGTAAATAACGGTGTGGTACTGCTTCCAGGAATTCATATACCCGGCCTGATTCTGAAGTTTTAATTATGATGATTGTGCCACTTAATCTCCAGAGTATTGTAATTAAATGGCTCTGTGGAATTTTTGTTTACATTGTGCACCATTTGTCAGGTAATTACCAAGTTTTGTTGCGAGTGCTTCGGGGTGCTGGGTGGAGGCGCACACCCACTTTAACCCTCCCCCCCCCAAAAAAAAAAATGATAAAAGGAACGGGTGGGGTTTGAACCCATGGCAAGTCCTATAACTCCATTCATTTATAACCACCTACCCACACATTATAAACTACCCACCCACCCATCCTAAGCCACCTACCCATCCATCCATCCTAAGCCACCTACCCATCCATCCATCCTAAGCCACCTACCCATCCATCCTAAACCACCCACTCTAACCCATTCCTCTACCCATTCTAACCCATTCCTCTACCCACTAACCCATTCCTCTACCCACTCTAACCCATTCCTCCACCCACCGAGCCTGAACCATGTGATGTTGCTTCAGCACTTTATCCACTTGAGCTCCAATTTTAATGTGCAAACTTTGTGATCTGTATAGCATATAATGGGGCATAAGCGATGGTTAAACAAACATCCACAAACGCTTGAGCTCTACAGCAGTCTCAACTAGGTAATTACACACATTCCATAAATACTTTGAACAGTAAATTATAATAGGCCCCAGAAGGCTGGGGACCCTCAATAATCTGTTATTTGCGAGGCGGGGCCAGGAGATAAGACTCGATCCTCAGCTCATAAAGTTGAGTACACTGGCTAAAACTTAGGTACGAAGAAGTGCATTCAGAGCTCCTGCGTTAAGGGAAACGAGTGTGAAAAAAATTATATATCCTGGCCTTGTCTCTTGTTTAGAAAAGAACGAAGAACAAGAGGAAATATGATTCAAGACATACGTAATTTTCCTGTCACAGTACAGAGGCAACTTACTAGACAAGAGGAAATAAATGAAGATCAATTGAATTAACTTGAAGGAAATAATATGGACAAAGACACTAGTACAAACCGACTCCATACAGGGCTTCAGGAGTGGATATGACAAAGCTGGTTCGTGTCAGACACACAGGAACTATCAACATGAATATAAAAAAGGAAACTCTCCCGGAAGTGTGTTGGTGTGGCAGATTAGTCGTGGGAATTGTGATGGATGGGATTTTGTTGTCAGGAAAAATGGGAAAAAATTTTCTGACGCGAGTTTTAGTCATATGATGACCCCGCGCTGTGAAACGTGTGGTCATTTGACCCAGGTTTTCCGCTGGCTTATCGATGCACCACAATTTTTTTTAATATCATCCAAAAATGTTAATATCCAGGTTCCCCCACATTCAATAAACAAGGAACACATTTTTTTTGTGACGTAAGATCTTCAGGCCAGGAAGCAGTCCTAGGGTAAGGGGAGCCTGTCATTGGTCACATCATGATATACGTACTTGTACAAATATCTATATTAGGTGGCAGTTATAGGCCTCAAAATGTACTCTTGTAAATAAGCTCATTATCTTTATTTTTTTTTTTTTTGCAAATATATGATTACAAAATGCAAATCATATTTCAACATCATTTTCATTTACAATAATAATACGTACAAAGATGCACGAGATAAGGAAAGTGGGGGTGGAGGTGTTGTGCCCTCATACTGGTAGTATGAGAACGCTAGTCTCAACCCGTGTTTAGTAGTGTACGTAACCCAGTGTACACACACACACACACACACACATTAACCATTACCAGCTACGGTCATGGGTTCATGTATCCAGATAGTGTCTGTTGTCTCGCCGCTACGATGTAAACTAATCTCACTATTTTCTCTAGATATCGAAGCAGAAAAAATATGAAACATGTATCAGTAAATCATATTTTGTTGATAAAGTTATGCCTTCCCTGTTTTACACCTCTCCTCCTCATCCTTCTTCTTCTTCGTCTTCTTCCTCTTCTTTCTCTTCCTCTTCTTTCTCTTCTTCTTTTCTTCATTTTTTTCTTTAGCAGTGCGCTGACACACACGCACACACACACTGTGGATATCATCACTAACACCGCCACCACACGGTGTCACACCTCACACACATTGTGGATATCATCACTAACACCGCCACCACACGGTGTCACACCTCACACACATTGTGGATATCATCACTAACACCGCCACCACACGGTGTCACACCCCACACACATTGTGGATATCACTAACACCGCCACCACACGGTGTCACACCTCATACACATTGTGGATATCATCACTAATAACACCGCCACCACACGGTGTCCCACCTCACACATTGTGGATATCACTAACACCGCCACCACACGGTGTCACACCTCATACACATTGTGGATATCACTAACACCGCCACCACACGGTGTCACACCTCATACACATTGTGGATATCACTAACACCGCCACCACATGGTGTCACACCTCATACACATTGTGGATATCATCACTAACAATAACACCACACAGTGTCACACACCATCTATTGATTGCAGTGATTTAATCATTGATTTTTTAAATAGGGATTGGCTATTAAGGAGATTAATTTTTGTCAAAACAGTGACCATCCATCCATTAACAAGATTAACTTTTTTTTTTTTTCAAAATACACAGTAACCATTAACGAGATTAATTTTTTTGTCATAACAAAATACTGGCCATTTGCATTTTTTTTTTTTCAAAATAGAGTAGCAATTTACGTGAATATTTTTTGATCGAAATAGAGAGTAGCCATTACGAGTATGTTTTGTGTGTGTTTATATTGTTTCTTATGTTTATTTTCAGTGCTGCTTGAGTAGTGCTCACCTATTTGTGGTTCCAGGGGTCGAGAGTCATAGCTCCTGGCCCCGCCTCTTCACTGATTGCTACTAGGTCCTCTCTCCCTGCTCCATGAGCTTTATCAAACCTCGTCTGAAAACTGTGTATAGTTCCCGCCTCCACTACGTCACTTTCTAGGCTATTTCATTGCCTGTTAGTTCACCTTAACACACATACACACGTTAGTGTGTTACCAGGCGCTCTCTCACCCTTACGGGTTAACCACTTATTTGTTATAATAATATGTTATTGAATTATTATTTGAATCATGAAGAAGAGCTAAACCCATACAGTTTACCTGATTCAAGGAGAGAATAACTTTAGTTCGTTGGATCACCCCGTCACTAGCAACAGTGAACTATCCTCCCATCAAGGGAGGATAGCTCACTGTTGGAACCCTATAGTACTTGCTTGATTTTTTCTATCCCCAAACTTCATGATTATACATAACTTGAGAATGTCTCATCTTATCGGCTTCAAATTTTCAGCGCTGGTGTACTGTAACTATAGAAAGGTTCAGGTAACTGTTGGCATGTACAGGTGCCCTCTGGTAAATTTTATAAAAAGCGTTTCATGTTTTGATTACCGTGCGATACCTAGAGACAACTGATCGGCTCCAAACTTTAAACACTGATGTGTCATAGAGGAAGGTTGGCATTATTACTGGAGTGTGTAGACGCCATTATGCCAGTTTAATTTCAAAATGGTGTGGGGTTTTCCATGAAATCTTTTGAATATGAATCATCCGAACGGCTTCAATCATTATGGTTGATGCAACACTGAAAAGATGATACCCTTTAAATTTAGGCTCTGGCACAGTTATAAATTTGAAATTGTTGCATTCCCCTGTTATAACCTGTTTATCAACCGAAAAAAGTGAACAGGCTTTATAATGTTTTAAACCTTTCACTATATAATTTATGAAATGGTTACCTTCAATAGATTAGGAGGTACTGCTTTTTATCTAAAACCTACAATTTTTAAATATTAAGCCCAAACTATTCAATTAACCATATCCTATTAAAGATAGTTATTTGTGTCTATCACTACTACTCGGTGTTATATGCCTTTAAACACAGGATAAACTGGCGTATCTGTTGTCCTTGATAAAATCAGTGCGTTGTGAGAGTTTCATTAAGACGAGTCGATTGTTTTGCGTAATATAAAAAGGGAGCTCAGCCCAGTTGAAAGCCAGTGTGAGGGGCGGTGTCTGTTCTAAGAGTCGGTAATTTAATATAAGGCACCTTGTGTTCTGCCAGACTGCTTCCCATGTGATAATATGAGAATGCCTCTTCTGATAGGCTTTAAACTTCCATTGTTTGTGTATATTATAAGAGGAAGGGTCGTAGGTGCCAATTTGCCATTAATGTGGTAATAATCAAATTAAGCGGTAAATCCAAAAGGGTCGTACAGTACTGCAGGGAGGGATGTGCTGAAGGAGGAATATGCGGAGGTTTAGGGGGATGGAGGGGCAGGAGTGTGCAAGGGTAAGAGTTAGTGGGGATAAGGGAGAGTGCAAGAGGTAAAATAAAATCGATGTTGGTGCAATAAGTTAGTTTTGCTTAAAGCCAGTAAGGCGATGGTTTATGTGCGATACGTGAAACTGCCTCTTCCACCACCTTCAGACTTCCAACACAGGTGTGTCCTGTAGAGAAGAAAGTTTAGTTTGTTACTGGAGGCACTTTTTTGTGAGATAAATTGAGAATGGCTTGTCTGATTGTTTACAAACTTTCTGTGCTGGCACATTTCACTCACTCACAGTGTTAGTGGGCAATGTGTCCCAGTATGTGAATAGTTTACAACACCGACAAGTTGATAAATGAGACACTTGCGCAACATTTGGGTATCTTTATTCTGGAAACATTTGGCCACACAGTGGCTTCTTCAGTCCATTGCAGAGAAAAGTGGAAGATGAGGAGTTTGTGATAATCAGTCCCTCAGTCTGGAGTCGATGTATTCAGTCTCTCAATCTTGACACCTAATGTCCCTGTTCACCTATCAGTAAAATAGGTACTAGGTGTTAGTTTACTGGTTTGAGTCGCATCCTACTTGGAGTCTACCTGGAGGGTGTTCTGGGGGTCAACGCCCCACTGCCCAGTCCTTGACCAGGCTTCCCGGTGAATCAGCTGTTTCTGCTGGCGGCACGTAGTCCAACGTACGAACCACAGTCCAACTGATTGGGTACTGACTTTTGGTATCTGTCCAGGTCCCTCTTGAAGGCAGCCAGAGGTAATTTCCGTTATGCCTAGTGGGAGGCTGTTGAACAGTCTTGGGCCCCTGAGACTTACTATGTTTTCTCTTTGTGTACTAACGACGCCCCTACTTTTCATTGGGGGTATGTTACACCGTTTGCCAAGTCTTTTGCTTTCGTAGGGAGTGATTTTTGTGTGTAGATTTGGGACCAGTCCCTCTAGGATTTTGAAGATGTAGATTATGATGTATCTCTTTCGCCTGCACTCCAGTGAGTATAGGTCATGGGGACAAAATTGACCTAATTTTCCCGGAATGTTCTGCATAACAAGGGGCTTTCTACATAGTATGTCATTGATGTTAGGTAGGCCTGTATACATTGTACATGTACTTGTAGAAATATTATTATTATTATTATCATTATTATTATTATAAGGAGAGAGCAGCGTCCATGCATGTCCAGCCCACCCACCCACATTCCTTCCCTTCCCTTCCCTTCATTCTCTTATTCTCCCCTCTTTCACCCTTCATCCTTTCATTCGCCCCCTCTTTCATCCACTTTCATGTTTTTCTCTTGGATGTCCCATCTCTTCCTTCTTTCCGTCATCCTTTCCTAGTACCAACCTCCCTGCCTCCATACACCCATTCCTTCTGTCATTCCTTCCTCCAGTCTCTCTTCCCCATCGTACCTTCCTTTCTCCAGCCTTTCCTCTTTACCAGCTTTTATATCGCCTTCCCTCCCTTCCTCCCTCTCTCCGTAACATTATCCCTAGTTTCCTGGTTCAGGGTTGCGTACTGACCGTTTCACCTCGGCCTGGGGGTGGTGGTGGTGGTGGTAGGGGGGGGGGGGTTACGTGGGCACAGTTCCCACAGCTTTGTGTACAGCTGCAGCAACCCCACCCCCACCCAACTCACCCATCGGGGAAGCGTCGCCCCTGCACTAACAGCAGGTGTAGTAGGAAGGAAGAATATTCTGGCTTCTTGGTGTCTTACGAAATGAGATTGACTGTAACCTTCCGTTCTTTCCTTCCTTCCTTCCTTCCTGCCTTCCTTTCCCCCGTCCCTCCCTCCCGTTCTTAATTTTTTTTTTACTTTCATCCTTCCTCCAGCGAATTAGAGGAAATGTGGAGGTAATGATAGAAAATGCGATACACGGTTTTAAGAGTAGGTATGGTAGAGCTTTAGAATCTAGAAATTTGTAATACCATTTGAGTGAGGTTAAGAGTTAATTAAGAGGAGTGAGGGGAGTGGAGCCCGTGGTCAGGTGGTTCTAAGACTGCCACTCCACCACTGAGGCACCGCAAAGATTCAACCCCCCCTACTCGCAGAAATAAATAGCGCGCGCACGCACGCACACACACACACACACACACACACACACACACACACACACACACACACACACACACACACACACACACACACACACACACACACACACACACACACACACAAGTCATGCTCAGCCACCCAAGCATTAGAATGATAACGTAATCCTTGCGTGGGGTTGTTGGGAGAGGAATGTAGGAGGGATATATGTATACACTTCCAGTATACATGTGTACGACTGTTGGACAGTGTGGGTATACAGCCTGCTAAAATTTCATGATCACGTAAAATAAAAACCAGACACACCCATTACCGAGGAACAATCAGAAAATGATTGGGCCACTTATCTTTTATCCCCTTCCTCCTCCTTCGGCCCTTCCCACACCTCCTTCACCCATTTACTTCCTTCTCCATCCTTCTTCCTTCCCTTCCTTAACAAGGTTCCGGTCATGTTTCGGCTCGGTAGGAGGGAAGGATGGAAGGACGAACAATACTGCGATGAAGGTAAGGAAGTTTTTGGTAGCATTTATGACTTTAGAAGAGGTATATGATAGGGTGGATAGAGGAGCAGTATGGCAGTTGTTGCAGATATATGGAATAGGTGGTGGGTTACTATACGCAATAAAGAGTTTTTATGTTTATAATGAGACCGAGGTTAAAATATGCAGGTTAGAGTAATACAGAGGAGAGGTTGAGCGTTGTTGAGTAACAGTAGGTCATAGACAAGAATATATGATGTCACTATGGCTGTGTAACATATCTATAGATGGGGTTCCAAAATAAGTGAATGCCAGCCCGGAAAATGACGGGGTTATATAATAAGAATATTCAAAGCAAGGAAGATAGTGGCATTGGTAACACTGTTCAAATCGCTTGTGCTTTCTCGTTTACTGTTGTTCAGTGTGAACGACCCCGTTCAGGCAGGGGAGATATCAGAGCACGAACAAATGCAGAGAACATATACAGCCCGCATTTAAATTACTGTGAATGCCTCATTGAACGTGGTGGAGCAGAGGAGAGATACATGATAACATATACATGGAAAGTGCTTGCGGGCCTAGTCCCAAATCTGCACACTGCTGTAACAACATACTAGAATGAGAGATAAGGTAAGAAGTGTAAAATAAACCTAGTGAAAAGCAGGATCGCCGTGTTGACTCTAATATACGTTGTCAAATAAATTTTGATGACGACACAAGGTTACAGAATGATCTGATAGGTTGATGTGGTCGGAGAAGTGGCAGATGCAGCTTCAAGTAAAGTTTTAATTGTGGGGAAAAGACAACAATCGGATCTGGAGTAATTATATTTAAATTTTTAGATTATAAGATAATCGTAATTGTAAATGACTGTTGTCAATATTATAAGTGCTTAAATTATATTATAAAACTGGGGCACTGTGATGGGTTAATGGCAAACACAAAATACACGTTACATGGTACATAAATGTATATTCTGATGTGATTCTCGTCATTTGGATCAAGTTTTGAAAAAAGGGATATACAAGGGGATTGTGTTCTGTTCGACGTAGATTCCGTGTGGATATTAGGGAGCTCCTAAATGATTCTGCCTCTGAAACGAGCCAGAGAAATAACTGGTTGCTGAGCCACTTAGCACCGTCATGGAGAGTATTTAACATAGCAGGAATTTTCTTGATTCCCAGTAGGGCGCAGCTGTGACTTGTTACATTACGCGAACTTCTGATCTTGAATAAATGGTTTACAAAACCGACAAGTTGATAAATGAAACACTTGGGCAACATTTAGGTATTTTTATTCTGGAAACGTTTCGCCACACAGCGACTACTTCAGTCCAATGCAGAGAAAATAGAATGATGAGGAGGAATTTGAGGTAGTCCCACAGCCTGGAGTCGATGTGTTGTGTCCATCAATCTTTGTCAAGATTGATGGGCAGAACACATCGACTCCAGGCTCAGGGACTGATTACCTCAAACTCCTCCTCATCTTTCACTTCTCTCTGCATTGGACTGAAGAAGCCACTGCGTGGCGAAGATACCCAAATGTTGCACAAGTGTCTCATTTATCAACGTCTGATCTTTTAATTGCATCCTACAAATTTATGAGTACCTTCCATGCTTGAATATTAACGAACTGGAATGTGTGAAAATGATCGTAACTTATGT